TTCTTCTGTTTCATCTCTTCCTGTTTTCTGAAGGTTGTTACTGTGACACCAACGTAAAAAAAAAAAGAAAAAAACAACTTCCTACTTCTAATCTGTTTCACGTCTTTGTCCTCGTTTCTCTCCGCGTGCATCAAGTATTGACAGAAATGAGGCTTTTTTTGCTGAAATGCTTGGCTCAGTAAAAGGTACGTAAGCTAGAATTATTTACAGACTAAAGAGAATTCCACTTCTGTGTGCTCTGTGGTACGATATTTAAGGCAGGGATCACCAAAAGCTTTTAAAAAAGACGACGACTTCAGTAGAATATGGTATACCGTGTATGTTGAGAGTGTGGGAAAGCGGCTTCTGTGTGGTTACAGACATAAACCTATGCTGTCGTGCCTAGGGATCATACCTGTAAACCAAGCCAGGGCATGGAGCACGCTATCTGCTGAAAGACTGTGATGCTCCTCTCACTGTTGTGTCACAGAATTATGTGTAAGTGCAGGAAGTAAGAAGTTACATGTTTATTTAGTGATTGTATTAATAATGCTGTGCAGTTGGCACTGCATTTAGGTGTGCCATGCAGAGGGCAAAAATCTTTTGTTAGAATAATCCAAGCTTATTACAACAGTGCTGATAAAATGAAGTAAATTTTATAAAAATATTTGGAATTAAGGAAAAAATTATATAGAAAAGAGGAACAGATTGGGTTTAAAATGAGTTTTTTATACCACCCCCCATATTAAAATACTTTATACTTATTCCTATATAAAGAATAAGAGCTTCTGCTATGCTGATTTGCCATCTGAAACTGCTCCACTTTTTGACTTTTCAGTCTTCCAGAGCCCTACCTGATGGTATAATTCAAACTAGGAACAAAATAATTGTACTTAATTACTGAGGGGTTTGGATAGCTTAAGAAACTAATCTAGAAAGTTTTGGTGAGGCCAGATCTTGCTTTTACATTTGTTTATTGGAATTTTTTCCCCATCTCCTCAGGGTCAAGTTTTTATACTAGCCGTTGGCTGCTACAAGTTACAAACTGAGTTCAGAGCGTCAGGTGGATGCTCAGTAACTGTCTGGGGGGTGATCAACAAAGGAAGTGTTTTGGCTTTAGGCAAGGGGTTGGAGATAAGCTATTTTTGTCACTGTACGAAGAAATATAGTGGCTTTTTTTGTATATAAATGACAGATGTGAAAAGTACGATCACATTCGTCACAGTGGAATACCAGCCACACCAGTTTCACTTAGGAAGAAAGTATCTTCTGTTTGCTGTGAAAAGCAGCAAACTACCACAGCTGGTAGAAAATTGTTATTAAACTCTTACAAGTAATGAGATTGTGCATTATCATTTAGTTTAATTGTTTAGTTTTAGTTTAAAATTCCTTTAAATTTACTGTAATCATGTAAGTATTTTCTTTATAGAACGTGACAGAGCCCTGAAACAATTCTCAGAATTACACTGTGTTTTGGGTGATGTTAGAGCGAGTCTGGTGCTTTGGAACTCCGGGGTTCATATTAAAATCCGTCTGTGCACCGCAGGTCCTACTGCCTTACAGACTGGCCTTGGAGGGGCCATCAGCTGTGCATGCACAAACACAGTTTGTGACACTGGAGCAGGTTTATAGGGGTGGAAATGTAAATTCCGCATGTCCACACTTCTCTCCGGGGGAAAGAGGGGAGCGCAGATGCTATGACTTGTTTCTCCTGACATGTTACTTGTTAGATGTCCTAGGTACATGGTGTTCAGCCCTCACTTTCCTCCTTTGAGTCTTGTCCCTGCAGCATGCTTTTCCCCTCAACTTTCACATCTTGGGAAAAACTACTGCATGCTCAGTTTCTGCGTACCGTTGGCTCATGGCTTATCACTTGCTGCTGTTTTCACTCTGTGCTGTGCTTAGATTGCTGTAACCACAGGTGACTGTGTAGCTTAAGAACCATCTTAAATGGGCTTGAAATGCCTATAACCTCTCTTCGCAAATTAGAGAAATCCACCTTTGTCCCACAGTGTCAAACCACACCGCAGAATATGGATAATAACTTCATTCCTTTCAGAAATCTCTGAAACGGCTAAGAAAAGCCTGTGCTTGATACCTGGGATTGATTTATAAAATTCAGGAGAAAGGAGAAAAGGCAAAATCTAACACATTGCTGTGTGCAGAAGGGTTCATTTTACAGGTTGTTTTCTGGGATTTTCATTACATTAAAAACTTTGGGTGAAGACAAAGACTGCCCTCAGGCACTGACACCTTCCCTGTAAAAGGTCTAACCCTGAGCCCACGGCAGTTGGCAGCACGCTCCTCCACAGTTTTTTTGGTGCAAGCAGTGCAGGCAGAAAAGCTAATGGCCTTCCTCGTGGCCAGAAAGAACGTCAGAGAACACATCCCAGGGACTGCACTGCTGGTTTTCCCTCCACTTTTCCAATTGCTGCACTGGCTAAGGGATCAGAGGGAAACTGGAAGGAGCCTTGGCTTTGAAATAAAAGTTGCCAGCCAGCAGAACTCCCCGAAGTGGTGCAGAGTGAGGAGCGCAGAGTGACAAGTGCCCGGTTCTTGGTGTGTAGCGCTCTGCTGCTCGAGGATTGGGTATTTACAGGTGCATTGTGAGGATGAAATAGCGGGGTTAAAGGCCATATCCTAACATGCAAATCCTTTTCCTTTGCAGAAGGCTGATAACCAAGAGGGTTGCTTTATCTTTCGGTTTCAGTGCCGCCTACCTTTCATGTAAAACTGAGTTCCTAGTCTATTTACTGAGGTGCTAATTACCTTTATTAGGGAGCACGTAACTCATTGACCTTAACCTGTGCCATTTGATCTTTCATAGAAAGTTATTTTCCCATTTTTTATTAACTGCTCCACCAGTAACCGAGAAATACTCAAACCCCATTATCTTGAGTTTGCCATTTCTACTTTATGTGAATTATTTGCAGAATTCTGAATATCTACATGCGACAGAGATTTTGCTATGAGTAACAGTAACATGATGAGTGTGTTGTATGGAACCAGCCCAAATCACAACATTTTTTAAGTAAATTGTTTTACTGTTTCCCAGTAACGGTTATGTATTAAAATGACCCAAGGAAGGTACAGAAACCACCACCAATTATGCAGTAAGGCAGCAAAGTGCAGATTTTACACTCAGCCACTGATTATGTTATTTCAAACGGGGCTTTTATGACTGTTTTCACGAGAACAGCTTATTGTCCGTAACAGCCAATGGATACAGTTGTCAGTGTAGCTGCATAAGAATTTGAATAAACAGTCACAGATCACCTTCTATTTTGACCCAAACTGCAATGACAAGAGGTTACGTTGATGGCTCTGTCAGCTCTTCCAAAAATAATTTTAAAATAGCTTATTTTGATAGTTTCCCCCTTTGTTTCTAAGAAAGGAAAAAGACAAGACAATTTTTTGTTAAAATAAACAGCAGTCTGGACCAGCACCAGCCCTGAATGGACTTGGACAGATTTCATAAGAATAGGTTCATTTTTTCCAAAAACTGTCTATGAAATTTTTTTGTCTGGGATTGAAAGCTTCTAGAAGTAAGCAGTATACCATTATATCAACTTTAATTAGGCAAAATTCATTTGGGCTACACAAAAGAGAGCTTTAATTTGTCCCACTATTTTGCTCTGATGCCATCTTTTCTACTTTTCACATATTTATGTAAATCTCACTCGTAAAACAGGACATCGGTTTCACTTTGTTGACGTGTTTTCATTTTGCGTCACTTGCTGCAGCGTGTTTAGCCTTAGCTCACCTAAACTGGGGAACCACGGGCAGTATGCAGCCAGGTTGCATGCCCTGTGTTTGCAGCACGTTGCCCCAAGCAGCGGTGCGGGTTTTCTTCTCAGAGGCTTTCCAAACCAGGCTGGAGAACCCCCTGGGCGACCTCAGCTGACCTCAGCGCTAACTCTGCATGGAGCAGCCCTTCAGCCTAGAGAGCTCCTGAGGCCCCTGAAGCTGAATTGTTCTGCGTTTCTAGATTAACAGCTGTAAATGTGAACTCTTACATTAATCATAGAATAGAATCATAGAATCACTAGGTTGGAAAAGACCTTAGAGATCATCCAGTCCCACCGTATCTGTCCACCACTAAACCATATCTTTCAGCACCTCATCCACCCGTCTCTTAAACACATCCAGGGATGGTGACTCCACCACCTCCCTGGGCAGCCTGTTCCAGGGCGTGATAACCCTTTCGGTGAAGAACTTCTTCCTTACATCCAATCTAAACCTCCCCTGGCGCAGCTTGAGTCCATTCCCCCTCGTCCGATCACCTGTCATTAGGGAGAAGAGACCAACACCCACTTCTCCACAACCTCCTTTCAGGTAGTTGTAGGCAGTGATCAGGTCTCCTCTCAGCCTCCTCTTCTCCAGGCTAAACAAGCCCAGTTCCCTCAGTCACTCCTCATCAGACATATTCTCCAGACCCTTCACCAGTTTTGTGGCCCTTCTCTGGACACGCTCCAGGACCTCAATGTCTTTCTTGTAGTGAGGGGCCCAAAACTGAACACAGCACTCGAGGTGCGGCCTCACCAGTGCCGAGTACAGGGGGAGAATCACATCCCTGGACCTGCTGGCCACGCTGTTTTTGATACAAGCCAAGATGCCATTGGCCTATTAAAAAGCATAGTACAACTATGTAATGGGAATATTGCTCTGGAAATTTAAAGCTGTATTATTTCAGGGGGGCTGAGAGCGTCAATTTGCAAATCTGATACTCAGATTTATTTTGTACACTTTGGGTACTTATTGCAGGTTTTAAGTGCCATGTTCACTGTACTTTACACTGTACCCAGCTTCAATGCCTAGCTAAGAAATGAAAGATGAATCGATTCAACTGGAAAGCAAAGCATTGTTGGTATAATGCCTGTATATAAGATCTGTGATGTTCTGAATTGCTAACTTCCCCTGTTCAGTAGTTGCAAGTATTTTATTCTGCTATCTGAACATTCCTACTCGTTTTGTCTCCCCTCCCTTACAGACACATGAGCGTATGGCAGATATCCCTTGCAATGGAGACACAGAAGCAGCCTGGTTTTACAGCTGCACCAGCAGAACGGCCGGTTCCAACCTCTTCTCTTCAGCCTGCACAGGGTCCTCCGGATCTCAGCCAAGGCAGCGTGATTCCTCCACGGGAACAAGCGCTGTCCCAGCCTGTGTATCTAAAAGCCCTCACCATACCCCTGTACCAGCCCGTCCAGGCAGGATGCTTTCAGCCAAATGGTCAGTTAGTGACTGGCAGGAGCTGTGTAAACCTAGACAGCAGTAACATACCTCTAATCCTGAACCCAGTCGTTCCTTCGGAAGGCACTGATCAACCCCAGTCCATTTTTCAGAAACAACTTGGGCAAACTCTAACACTGAACATAGTGAGCACTTTACCAGTTTTATCGTCACCAAATTCCTGTGTAAACGCATCTGTTGGAAGCCCAGGGAAATCAAAAAAAGCTGGGAAGTATATCTGCAAACACTGTGGACGAGATTGTTTGAAGCCAAGTGTCCTTGAGAAACACATTCGCTCTCACACAGGAGAGAGGCCTTTTCCCTGCACCACTTGTGGTATTGCATTTAAAACTCAGAGCAATCTGTATAAACACAGAAGAACTCAAACACATGTCAACAATACCAGGCTGCCCTCAGACTCCGACAACAGTGGCATCTTGGAGCAAAATGAGAAATCAGCAGAGAGCGTCCTGTCACATCAAGGCACCAAACTACTTAGCAGTGCTGGTGAAGACAAGGGGCTAGAGATGAAACAAACGAGTTCAGAGACCAGTGCTCTAACAGACACTAAGAAGCTTCTTAATGACCTTTCACCACTGGCAACAAGCAATTCATCATCTGCTTCAGAAAATCAAGAAACAACGAATCAGTCCTTTAGTTCAAAGGCTAATCAGCCGGTTCCTGAAAGAGAACCTCAAAGTTTATCATCTCCAGGAGCTTTGCCAAATGGGCAGTGCCAGAGAAAGAAGATACAAGAGCAAAGAACTCCAACCACCAATAAGCATATTCAGTTGCAAAGGCAGCAAGCAACGTCTTCAGAAAAACAGTGGGACTACAAGCCATTTGACTGCAAGCTGAAGAAGTGTGAGAGCACGGACTCGGGGTATCTGTCGCGCTCTGACAGTACAGAACAACAGGTGGCATCATCCAGCCCCTTGCACAGTCTCTGTGAACACAGCACAGAGCTGGAGAATGAAGCCGCCTCCAGCAGCGTGAGGTGTGCCTCCGGAAGCAGCGCACAGCTCGATGCAGCTGAGAAAGCTACAGCCTTGATGCTAGAGAAAAAGAGGTTGGAAGAGCACATTTCAAAACTCATTTCTCACAACAAAAGCGTGGTGGATGATACCCAGTTAGACAACGTTAGGCCCAGAAAAACTGTGCTTTCTAAACAGGGAAGCATTGATCTGCCAATGCCTTACACCTACAAAGACTCTTTCCATTTTGACATCAGAACTTGTGATGTCAATAGGAAAAAAAATCTTTCCCTTTGTTCAGCAAAATCTACCTTTGCACCCTTAGAAAAATCCAAGCCGATGTTTTTTCATTCAGTCCCCACCCAGTTCTCCACCACGATAGATGCTGTGCCTGTTACACGGAGCAACTCTTTGCCGTTGGTGGAGGGCGCAAGGGTGGTACAGGACAAAGCAGGTTGCTCAAAACCACTTTCTCTTACTAAGCAGTCTGTAAATACAGGCTCTGCTGGTTTGCTGCCTAGCAACAATCTTGCTGCAGATTCAGTGGATTTTCCTAATAGCCATCCCCGAGCTCTAGTCAGACAAACAGCAGTGGATGATTTGCCACTAAGTAATGTGGTTGATCATCCTCCTCCGTCGGAGGAGTTGCAGGGCACTAAAAAGCTCGGGGCTGGAGAAGTAATCAGTGCTAAAAATAAGAAACACAATCAAAGGAAGTTAAAGATGTTCTCTCAAGAAAAATGGCAAATGTATGGAGATGAAACGTTTAAGAAAATCTACCAAAAAATGAAAAGCGGTCAGAATGCCAAGAAAATTAAACAAAGGGGGAATAAGATGACAGATATTACAAGCCTCACTCCTGATTCAAAGGAATCAGTCAGCAGTACTGAAATTACTGAAGAAAGAGGTGGCAGGAGCTCTGTAAGTGACAGTCTTTCCTCCCTTGTGACAACAGGTTTAAACACTGGTACATCAGAAACCTGCACTCAGGGTAATCATAGTCTAGGGAACGTGTCCTCCGAGGAAACTGCGGACAGTGCAACCTCCGTAATGGAGACGTCCCAGTCAGCGAACGCTAGAGCTCATACTGTCACGGGCAAAACTTCCCAAGACCTCAGTGGCAGCAACACAGGTAAATACACAGGTGGCAACAGCACGTTACCAGCTCCAAGCAGTTGTGAGCTCAGGCTTCCGAATACTCAGTGTCAGCCGAACACTAACAGAAGGGACGACGACTGCTTGCCAGGACGGAGTAGCACATGGGAAAAACCAAGCCCTGGGAAAGAATCCAGTACAGTCGAATCAGAGTGTAAAAGCACTTCAAACAGTTACGGAAACCACAGGAGGGATAAGGAAAGTGGCCAGCATGCCCTGCTGCCCCCATGGGTCCATTGCAACAACAGAGAAGCTGCAGGGAAATCCCAGAATTTGCCGTCAGAAAGAAAAAAGCTGAAATTTGAGGTGGAGAAGGCACAAACCATGGTTTCAGAGTCCTGCCCCAGCAGTGAAAACAGCGCAGTAAATGCAGCAGAGAAAGTCTCTAGCACTAGCACTAGCACTCAGTGTCTTGCCACGGCACCGGGGAAACTCTCCGGTAGAGCAGAGGAGCAACAATTAAGCACCGCGATTAATGAATCCACTGGAGGTACTGAGAACGTGGACTATGTGAAAACAATCAAATTCCCCCCCAAAACTCTTAATTACAGTGATGTAAACCTTCTTTCACATTCAGCAGGTGTCTCAAAAGCTTCAGCTGTGGGATTTTTAGGGCCTGAATTAAGGGGAAGCGATTGCAATTCTTTTGCCTTGCACAGTGCAACAGATAAAGATGTCAAAACGTGTCTTGTGAAAACAGGCGCAAAGGTACCACTTTTCAGCGACAGCGCTGTGGATGCCTCTCCTAAAACTCATCATCTACAATCTGGTCGTTTAACTCCAGTCCCACAACAAAATGCCTTTACCCCAAAATACATCCTTAAATTGCCGCAAGACAGGAGAGCCTCCGATTGGTCACTCTGGCTTAGATCAGAACCGATCACACCGTGCGCATCTGTCACAGACTCCTTGACCAACCCCCCCGGCTCCTCCAACAGCGGATCACTCCTTTCTCATTCTAAGGATGCCTTTTGGTCCCCGTTAAGATTCAAAGTGCGGCAGAAGGCCAGCAAAGGCGAGCTGCGGTGGAACGTACCTGCAGACTGGAGAACTCCCGTGTTTTGTTCACCGCTCAGCTCAGAAACAACAAACGTCTTAACCACAGCTGATGGCACCTTTTATAACCAAAACTTCAGGCAGCAGGGTATTGTAAGAGATGCTTGGAAAAACAAATGGGACAAAAATAAATTAAATTACCAAAGGCAAGCGGAAGAGAAGTGGATGAGCATAACTGCTTCCTCTGCACAGGCCCCAAAGAAGAAAATATGCTTTACTTCTGTGTATACAAGTGGCTTTTTCCTATCAGCTGACATCAGCGAAGAGAGGAAGGTGTTGCATCACCTTTGCTCAGGAAGTGACTCACTGTTAGTGACGTCAGCTTCCAGCAAGGGTGCAGAGCCAGCAGTCACGGGGTGGGACAGGGGTGGAAGTCCACGCATTCTTAGGGGCAGTTCAGCACTGCAGGATGCGCAGCATTCTCGGACCTCAACAGACAGCCCCACTTATTTTTGCCATTCTTTTGGCACTTTTTATTGCCACACTGTCACAACGCGTTGTAAGGAATTCCCAGCATCACCCCACAACAATCTGACTTGCTACTCTGGGAGTTCAGCGGTACCGAGCCCCAAGAGCACCTTCCCATCACTGAGTGCTGAGCCTCGATTAACTTGGTGTTGTTTAACGAGAAGCCTTCCTCTGCCTGCTGAGCAGAGGGGAAGCGCAGACTCTGCCTACTCCTCCATGCACACCCGTGACAAGGAATCCAGCAACCAGTGCACGCTGTCGAAATACGATATTTCTGTTTTCCAAATGAAAAATATTGGCAAGACTGTGGCATATGGCTTAACCGACAGGAGTTTAAAAACGTTGGTTTCATCCTTTTCTAAAGGACAACAGATGCAGGAGGTAACGTTAATAATCCTATCTCCTTTCGCGAGAGGGTGTAATTGGCTGATCGTCCCCACCCCCCTTATTAGAAAAGTAGAAGAATTATCAAAAGTGTATTTATGGACATTTACAGGCATTTGCCTAGAAAGAATTTACAATTTCTGTTTTTATAAGATAGATTGCATATTCATTTGAGGCATGAAAAATACATAATTTTGTGTGAATATATGTTTCACTTGGGAACTTCAGTAGGAATGTTTTCTAGTGAGAAGAATGTATTTCTGTTTCTTGTTTTTTCCCCTTGTGAGTGTGTTTTATATTCTTCTGTAACAGAATATGTACTTCTCTGTTCTCATTTTAAATGAATATTTGAATCAGAGCAGGAATTAAGTAGCCCATTAATGCCAAGACGTTATTATGCTTGGAGATCCTTGGAGTCCTAGACTGTGTATTAGGTCTCTCCTTGTTTAGATACACTGAAATGTTAACAAAACCAAGTTGCATTAATGCCCTGTGAAGTGTTTAAGGCTTGAAAGCTTTTCTCTTTTAGGTAAGTGAAGACAGACGAGTCTGTCTGCACAGATCCTAGAACAGCTCTGTAAGACTGAGCTTACTTTTTATATAGGAAGAATACGAAAGAACATACACTAATTCTATGTAGATCCACAAAAGCAGTGAGTTGTTTTAATTTTATTTTATAAAAGTAGATGGACAAAGTGATTAGAAAAAACTAACACACAGATTCTAGGAAAAAATCAGAATGGTGCTATTTAACCACTATGCTATTCAGTCCTTTTTGGTGCTATTTAAAAAGAGCATAAATTGCCAATCTTTCAGTTAATGTAATTCACAATTTTCATGTACTTCTTTTTTTTCCAGTATTCTCAACAGTTAAGCTCAGCAGCTCCTGGAGGTGCTGTCAAAAATACTTCAGAGCAAAAGAAGAAAACAGTAGTCTGCAAAAAGGAAAAACTCTCAACAAATAAACTCAAGAGGAGCCACAAACAGAAAAAGATTAAAGTTGCCCCAAAATGGTAAGGAATATGGTTTTCAGCTTCCCTAGATACAGATATAATTTTGTTAAAATGGGTATAAAATGTCCACAGAAAATGAAAAGTCATCCCCAAGATTCAACCTTGTCAGAGTCAGGGGAAAACGCCAATCTCTCGAAGGACCCATTCCCACTCTGCTGCAGTTCCCCAGAGGTGAACTGTAACAGACACCACTGTGTTGTTCACTGTCAGGAACAGACTTTTCTAAGCAAAACAGATATATACCAAAGAAAGATGAGAACTGGTCAGCTGACTGTCACGATGCTTTAGAAATGGTTCTTATCTGTCAAAATAGTCAGCATTTACAATGTCTGTTTGAAGGGAACCAAAATACTTCAGTTTTTAATCCTGCTACAGCCGAGGCAGCGCGCAAGACCCTTTTGTCCTCACCAGATCTATACCCGGCACTGGCAGTCACACGAGAGGGCAGGAGGATAAGTATCAAGTTCTAAGACCAGCTAACAAAACCATCTGTAGTTTAAAGGATCATTCGGTTTAAATGAAAAGGCACATTGTATCAATCAGCACAGTTTCTCCCTATTTGATGGGGGTTGATATCACTAGAAGATTTAGCCTCTAATCTTTCAAGCGCGTGGGGCAGCAGAATGTCTGATGAATTACTTCAATAAGAAACACATATTGTGTGCATACATCCCTCTTACTTTATTTCATGACCAGAATCAGACAGAGTGACTCCCTTGTGGAAAATCAGTGTCAGTAACTTAATTGCCGTGTCTCGTTTGGCAAACAGCACTGGGCTTTTGAAGGATCATAAGAACAAAAAGAGAAAAGTCAGGTCTATGTTATCCCGTCTAGTGACATGCTTCCAGGCCTTTTTTCTGGTTTGGTGTGTTTTAATTTTTTTTTTCTTTTGTTTGCTTTGTTTTTTTCCTGCTGGTCTCAGAATTTCTTTATTTGGCTATATCCGGTGAGTATGGGGACTCAGCGAAGTACAGGGCGCTGAAAGCTCAGGTCACAGACATCAGTACCTAACTGGCCGAGCTGTTAAAGTCATGAAGTGTCATGTATTTTTCTGATACGGCAAACAGCGGGATAACCACACCCTTCTAGATCTACTTCCTATCTTGGGCATAGTGCCCGATTCTACCGATGTAGGGATGGGCCTTTGAACGTACTTTAGTCTCAGTGGTTAAGAGCTACTGAAAGATCTCGCTAGAGCAGAAAACAAAGCAGAGTGGGATTATTCAGCGCGAGTTTTCCAAGGGACCAATATCCGTTCTTCATCAGTGATGATGCAGAGGTGGCGCATGAGAAGCAAAAGGTGAAAAAGCCAACATCTATGCAGTCTCAGGTGATTCCTGGGTGATTCAGGGCTTTACGTTGGTTTAAAATTCCACATATAGGAAAAAGGATCCGTTATTCCAGAATCCTTTACTCTTAGCAAACCAAGGCTTTACCTAATCCTACTGAGGAAAAATGTAATAAAATAATTGTGACTGTTTTGCCTAAAACCCTGTGTTTTGAGGAGACAGAAAGGAACCGCTCCTTCTCAGTCTTAAATTGCTGTTAGAATGACGTTTACCCGACGACGTGGTATGATGTGATTCTGGCTGCTCTTAAATCACACCTGTTTGTTTACCCTTCCCATGCCACTGGCGACGCAGGTACAGCGGGAGGCATGGGCACGGATACGCTCAGTTGAAAATCAACCGACTAAGCAAGCGGCACTCTTTTCCAAACAGAACACCGGATGCTACGAAAAAGGGCTATTCATCACACCCCTCTAAATTTAGTAAGAAGTGCCACCCTTCTCAATCAAAGGTACAAGGTAAGAATTTTGAATATTTAATGTGTTGAAAGCTTACTTTTTAAGAGAATGAATGTTAGCAGTATCTCAGACATGGACCTGTTCCACATGCAACTGCAGACCTACTTTTGACCTTCAGTATGTTCTGCGAGTGAAAATACATCTCACACTGAAGCCTCAGTTTCAGAACTGAACACAGGATTTTCACACACATACTTACATACGTGAATTTGACAAATAGGAGGGCATTTAATAACTTTCCACTAGCAGCCTGAACAGTTTTAAGATGGATCTTTATCAGTTTCTGAAAAAAGATTGTACCTTTGCAGTGAATGAGTGGGGTGGGTTGACTGGCTTTCTGTGCTTCAATGACCCTGAAAGTCCAGAGGCGGCCACGGAGATGCTCCGAGGGCTGGAGCACCTCTGCCCTGGGGACAGGCTGAGAGAGTTGGGCTTGTTCAGCCCAGAGAAGAGAAGGCTCTGGGGAGGCCTTAGAGCACCTTCCAGTGCCTGAAGGGGCTACAAGGAAGCTGGGGGGGACTTTTTACAAGGGCCTGTAGTGACAGGACAAGGGGTAACGGGTTTAAATTGAAAGTGGGGAGGTTTAGGTTGGATATCAGGAAAAAAATTCTTCCCAGAGAGGGTGGGGAGGCACTGGGACAGGTTGCCCAGAGAAGCTGTGGATGCCCCATCCCTGGAAGTGTCCAAGACCAGGCTGGATGTGGCTTGGAGCAACCTGGTCTAGTGGAAGGTGTCCCTGCCCATGGCAGGGGGTTGGAACTGGATGGGCTTTAAGGTCCCTTCCAACCCAAACCATTCTATGATTCTATCCCCCCCCCATTTAATTAGTGGTATTAATGCTAATGATGTTTATGCCATAACCACCTTGGAAGCAGGGACAATACCTTGTGTTCGTTCAGAGCAGACACGAGTAGCTATTACTTTGCAGGAAGAAAAAACATACAGGTAAATGAGAAAATGTATCAGGCTTAGAATAAAAATGTATGGAAATAGTAGAAACACAGAAGTTAGTTCAGTGGTATGATGAAAAATTGAGTTATGTTCTAGAATGTGGGGTAATAAAAATCAAAGTAAACGTTTCTTCAACCTCTTTTCAACAGAGAATTACCTACACCAGCAAAAAGACACATCTTGTTCCACCTCAAACAAGCTACTTTGCAGAAGGAAAAAAGAAGGAAAGAATAACTCAGGAATATCATCCCATACGGAAAATCTAAACCATGTTAAACAAAAAGACAAAATGGATAAAAAAGTAGGTATCGTACGTTAAGTCATGCATTACTTTTTATTAAAATAAAAGATATTGGTAATTAAAACTTGAATTATATTCAGCTGTTTTATAGTTCAAGTTGAGACTACTTTGTGTGACAGATTTGGTTTAAAAAAAGGGATTTTGGGGGTTCAAATACAATGAAAACTTACTAAGGTTAGAATTAGATTTTTAAAAAGCAGAATTAAAATGGGCTCAGATTGCTATGACCGGCCTTAGACACATCTGCGGTGCTGCACACCACGCTGCGGTGCGCAGCGTCAGCACCGCATCGGGGACTATTCCGCGCTTATCCTCATCACACTTGTCCCTGCGCTTGCTCTGGCCACACCTGAAGACAAGAGCTGCTGAGCCAGACTGCTGTTAGGTGGCACGAGCACTGGTCCTCCGTGTAGCATGAGCAGTATCATATTCAGCAACCTGATTCTTAAAGCATTTTTTACCGAGTAATTTTATTTCCCGTATCTCCCCACTGCAGACACTGTAGTGTTTCTTACACACTTATCACAGACATTTCGCCCACATTGCACAAACACTGTTGCCATATATATATATTAAAAGACCTTAACAAAAATAACGTCATCCTAGACTGTACCTAGGAACGCAGCTTGAAGCCCCCGACCCCTGTCATCCATAAATTATGAGCACGGTCTGTCACCTGCCCGAGGAATAAAAAACTAAGGAAGAAATACATCCTTTACTGCACCTCCCCCACAGACTGGGAGAAAACCCCAGAGTTTTCTCATCAAAAGAGGGATGAGTAACTTGGTCTGCAGTCATGCAAAAAGAAGGGTGCAAGTGTAATCACAGCTGTAACCGTAAGGGTGGACACGAGGCTCAAGTGCTCGGTTGCTATGAGTTACAGCAGAGGTGCATCAGATGATGCAGTCGTCGTGGTTATCACTGCACTTCCGTGAAGGAGGGAACTGCTCTGTATTGAAAATCTTAAATGTAACTTTTTCTCCCCCTCCCCTAATTCTACAGGACTTTTCTGAGGAAATCAGAGAACATCCAAGAACAACCTTCTCGTTTCAGAACATTACAGCCCCCCTGGAAGTACCTATGACAGCTCATTCCTTTTCACCCACAGTGAATACAGCCACGCAGCAAGTCAGCAGTGATGTGGACATCTGTGGTTTGGTGACAGAACCGCTCGTGCTTCAGCCATCGGTCCCAGGGGAGTCGCCGCCAAACATTCCGAGTGACTCAATGCCACCTTCTTTTTGGTGTTGCCCATCTGATTTTACAAATCCAGGCACAGGTGACCAGCGCGACAGCACAAACTCAGAGACTACTGGGCCCCTTTCCTTGCATCAAGAAGCAAGCCAGGAAAACATCCCAAGTGCAGAGTCAGAGAGCCCAAGATTTGGTGCATCAGACCCGGTGATCCAGGCTTCAGGAAGGGAGAAACCTCCAGCTGAAGAAAACACACATTCATCTCCCACAGAAAGCTCAACTCCCAGTTCCCAGCCTGGCTGCTCACGTTTATTAGGATCAAGAGCGGAGTGTCCTCCTGAGTCAGTCGCGAGGGGGAAATCACCCCGCGTGGAATACACAGAGCAGGAGAGTTTTTCCCAAGCAGTCCCTGACCCTCAGGGGAGTGCAGACACGAACGGGGTCCGTCTGCAGTCAGACACCTATGGAAGGCCACACAAACCAGCTACTACCACCTTTAAAAAGCCCCCAGTTACTCTCAGGTCCCCCGAGTTCAAGACTTACGCTGCAGCACCTCCCAAGACGTACAAAAAAAGAGGTTTGGAGATGATGAGGAAGCAAACCAGAGTTGAGTATGATGACACGAGCAGTGATGATGAAGACAGGCTTGTTATAGAGATCTAGCAAACAGGCTGCTAGCAAGATGCTTGTTGGATGGCCCCTTACAGAAGGAAATGCCGCGGATGCTTGATCTGTATTTCTGAAGCACCTTAAAATCAGAAAAGCCATTCCTCTGTGCAACAGGCAGCATTCTCTTCTGACGACAGTCCTTTATTTCAAGGACTCCAACTTTTTAAAACAAGCTTATTTGAAGCAAAGAGGGAGCTGGCAACACACATTTCAATGCGAGTGGTAAACGTGTTTATGCAGGGTTTCCAGCATCGTTAACGTTCTTACCGATCTTACAGAATTCCCACAAGTGCTAGCTGCCCGTGGCTGTAGTACTACAAGGCTGCAGTGTATTTACTCCTAACAGTACTATAGCAGCAGCTTCCTCAGTATGTGACTTACAACTGCCTGCAAGGGCAAGGGTGCATTCTCTTCTATAGACTCCTCTTCCGTTGTACTCACTTCCGTCTGCTCTGGGAGTGATACGCAGGCACGAAGGGGAAGATCCGTTCCCTAAGTATCCATGATATCAGAAATGGCTGGAAAACTGCCGGTCTTTTCCCATGTTGCACAAATGCCAATGCTTCTTTGTGACAAACGACATAAGCATGCTTTGCTTTGTCTTTTGTGCCTTTTCTGCCAAGATCTACTCAAATATTCTTGATTTCTCGTTGGAGAATATGGGTGTTAGCTATTGGTATTTCCTTGTGGTAACATTCCTGACAAGGATTTTCTCATTATATTCATCACATTGTGCTCCAACCAATATAATCTGGAATGTTTCATTTTTATTGTAATCTTAAGTTGAACTGCAATGATGCTGTTTTACTGAGAGTAAAGAAGCTACATGGCATAGCTTGTTTTCTTTTTTAACAAAAGGTTTTGTGCTACGAACCTGAAAATTTACTGGTTTCTATGTGAATAAAGAATTAGATATTTTAATTTGACCCAGTGTATTCACTTAAAAAACATTCCACTTCTACGTTATAGTCAAATTCACTACTTAAACTTCTACCATTCTTACACCGTGAATCCTGCAGAGGGTTTTATGGATTAGCCTGCGTGGGATACTGGGAATTGCTTTTATTTAATCACGCAGAGGTAAGCGTGCACAGACCTTACCCACAGAGAGATCTAGCACACTACATGCGGAAAAGCGTACGTGCAAAAAGATGCCAAAACAGCTCACAGAGACGAAACAAGTGCTAAGTCCCAGGCAATTCCGGTGTTTTCAGGTGCCTTACAGAGATGACAGCGCTTGAGGGTGTCAGTACAAAGCTTCACCTTCAGCCTAAATTTACGCATGGAAATTTATTATCGGTACAGAAAACAAAAACCACGATCAAAATATTACCCCCATTCCTAATTCCAGTGTGTAAAAGAAAATAAATACTTTTCCCTTTCTAAAAGTTTTACAATATTACGCCAATTACACTAAGAATCGGTGTCAAAACAGTAAGGAATCGAGGAATGTTAGTTTATGGAATTATGCTTTTTTACTCTTCTGCTTTATTTCTCATTAACCACGAGCTGGGTTTTTATAACGACAGTAATCTGTTGGGTTGTGATCAGGATCATGAGAGGGGACCAGTCTGCTCTTTCGCTACACTTTGTGGTTGACCTCTGCCAACCTCAGTTTTATCCCCACACACCACACAGTGAGAGGATGAGGTGAAGGAACAGCCTCCTTCCCTTGGTGAGCTTGGTATTCAGAGCTCAGCCACCGCTGGCATACGGCTGAGGGATGAAGGGCACCAGCAGTGGTGGCTTGCAAGGCCCTGTAAATCACATACTTGGTTGACTGAGATACAGTACAAAAAAAATACCATTTTATTTAGAATGGTACAGCCAAAAAGAATGATACAGCAGTGGATTGGTTTTGTATTGTTAGGTTTCTCTCTTCGTACTGTTAAATTATTTTAATAAAAATAAGATGTGAAGATCAAAATAGCACTACTATTGTGCTAGTTCTTAAGGGTCATTTCTAGGCTCAGCTGCGGAGATGTAGTACAAGAGTGCCAGTAATCTCAGGGTAGATACGCAGTGCTCTCTGCAAGCACGTCTTCGTCAGTACAATCACAGACATACCTAATGAGCTACACGTTTCTCTTCCTAATTGCTGCGAGAAGCTGTCAGCAGACTAGGAAAGACTAGAGAGCCTATACATAAATTCTATCATTCTATACACTAAATAGTTTAATTTATAATCTGTGCCGATAGTCTCAGTACATGAACTATTATTACAGTTCAAGCGTATTAACATTAAATGCTTTTTAATTGCAATTTTGCTAATTTTTTTAGTCCAAATCAAACATTAGCAGAAGAACAAACATGTTACTCAGGAAACTTCGAAGTGAGATTATTAGCAAGAAAAATGTCAATCCCACCATTAACATGACAAGTTTCATACGTTTGGTATCATAAGGACAAGAAAGATTAAAGAAAACTGTCTGGCAAGCTTTCGTGCTCTGCTCAGTGTTTGTGCTCCAAGACAGTGGAGAGGTATTTGGGTGAACCCCAGGTGCAAAGAATCTAAATAATGTGAGCTCAAAGAAGTACACGAATGTATCTCCCATTTGGGAGAGAAAGAGGAAGATGAGAGGGAAGAGGGATGGGGAGGAGATGACACCAATATTGGCACAATATCGAACCAGGTGGATGCTGGACCCGTAGGAGAAGCTGGAGAAAGAGAAACGCAGTGCTCACAGAGAGACACAAGCGGGAGTGTTCCCAGCGTTCCCGATGGGCACGCTCCTCTGAAGGCGACGCAGCTGCTCTCGCACAGGCACTTGCACCCACACCTTCATTATGCTGACAGAGAAGCATACCCCTGTCTTCAGCTGCTTTAGCTTCAGATCTTTTTCCATCTTCATTTCAAAGTCCCTATGTGTCCTTGTGAAGAGCAGTATGGATGACAAGAAAATACTTCTTTTGATTTTTAATCAGAATTTGCAATTTTGTGCCATTCCATCCAAAAATTTGACAGAGTAAAATTTCAAATGCTTCGAACTTCTGCAAAGTCTCTTAAAATTTACATCGTCTGTTAGAGCTAATGGAAACTTTCCGTACCTATAAACCCTGTCTGAGCCAGCCGTGAAGAAAAGTGTTGCCAAGCACCTTTGGAAAGCACAGGACAAGAAAGCCATGGCATCAAACCGCACCAGCAGCCCCCACAGCAACTGCATTCACCTCTGGCTTGTGCAAGAGTTTCAGTATTATAATTTAGGGATATGTAATGAATATGCTATATAAAGTCTTTTTGCATAATGTTTGCAGCTAAATGATGTGTTTTAAAGTGGAATTTCTAGATCAGTAATTTAGAAATATTCTAATGACAGACTCAGCAGTGCTGTGCATTTATCCTGGGTATATTTTACAGCATTAAATATAGAAATGACTTTGTCCTAATGCAGCTGTAGATGGAAGAAAATTTTAAATTAGCTGAGAAAGAACATTTAAAACTCTATTTCCTGATCGAAGTTATCCTTGGCATTCTAGCTCAGCATGCCATATAAAAATCTGACCTAACGTTAGAGATGAAAACCAAAATATTGTAGTTCTTTAAAAGCACCGATAGTTGGGTGCTGGCATTTTTAACAGTATCACTAAAGAAGGTCATGACTGCAGCCCAAATCTCTTCAGCCATAGCAGCCCTCGGAGGAGTGAGGTCTGAATCTCGCACAGCAGTGCGCGAAGAGGGAGAAATGTTCTTGGTTTAAGTTAGGGAACTGAAGGACTTTGCGTCTCCAAATCCAGCTGGCCATGTGGCAAACAGGGTATTCCGGCTTTCCAGAAGATGATGTGCTCACAGAAGAACATACAAGGCTATCCAGGGAAATCATCCTCTATCTTGTGCACAGCAAAACTGTCAGCCGTGCAGTCATGTATTTAATTAATGCGCAAGAAGCTGAACATCAAAGCCACATGAGGGCACCAGGCACAGAGAAAGATCTGTTCCTTTATCCTGCAAAGTCAGCAGCAGTTCTGATGGATCATTGCTTTGCTATAAGCAAATTTGAAATTCCTTTGCACGTGAATGTCTCTCATCAGCTTTTTCCTCCTTCTGTTGAAGGAAGCAAATTAATAAGGAATGCTGATCACTGATAAGATCTATATTTAGCACCTACTCAGACTGTAAATAAGTGTCTGTTTCAGATTTCCCCCCTTTAGATGTGAACAGACTATTTCTTATTGTTTCAAACTTCTATATTAGATATTATTGATACCTCAGCGATCTGCCTGGCAAACCCCAACTCATACACCAAGGTGGATGAGAGGGGTGTGAACCAACCCAAGCAAGCCCAGAGATCACCGACAAATAGAGAGATATGCCTTGAATACATAATTTATGAGAAAAGATAACAGGAGCTGGCTAGCTATCAGAAGAGAAAATTAAGGGAATATGCACAGGAAAGTTCAGTAGAAGAACGTGGGAAGACTATCACAATCATCTATCTTCCACATCCACTCTGGGAGGATATGAACTGATGGGCTTAATTTGCAGCGTATAAACTCGATAAAGACAAGCTTCCTATTTAAGGAGCAGGTAAGCACGTAACAAATAACCCAAGGAGATTACAGACCGTATTGCTTGGGAACTTCGGTGACAGCTGCGGCAAGTACTTCTCATTACAGGTATAACGTTATTTAGGGCTGGGACAGACTTTCTTTTCAGCTCCATTTTTTATTCGTAAATTCTTGGTTGTCAATGGCTTCCCCAAACCACAGTGCCCACAACGTTCAGCGCTCCTGTGGCTGTACATGCACCACCCATACACGCCGAGGTGCAACCTCGACACGTTTGTTTTGCATTACTCACAGTGTGTATCTGGTTTCCCATGTTGCCTGTGCTTTATTTACACAACCACATTTGTTCCCATTCATAGGTGTTTATATTATGATCATTTTCATGGAGTTAAGTAGCAATGTTAAACAAAGCTAGTTTTACCTTAAGGATTCGTGTGGAAATACGGCTGCAGATTAAGACTCCTGGCCTGTATTTTTCATTTACCATC